TGACCTCCCTTGACCTGCTGGCCACGCTGCTTTTGATGCAGCCCAGGATATGGTTGGTTTTCTGGGCTACAAGCACACATTGCTGGCTTGTGTTGAGCTTCTCATCCACCAATACCCCCAAGTCCTTATCCTCAGAGGTGTTCTCAATCCATTCCCCCCAGCCTGTATTTGTTCATCATCTGTGACCCCAGCGCTGGTGTTGAACTGGTAGCTTTCCTTTACAGCTGAATTAATTTTGAAAATGGGAGAGCATTTGCTGCTGGGCATCTTCTGTCATGCAGCCTCCAAAGGATGCTCTCTAACGTCTGTGGGCTAAAGACTAATCCTTGAGCTAAGCCTCATCCTCACTGTACCGATAACCAGAAACACTGAGAACTTCTGTACGCCTTCAACCTGCAGCGTTTGTTATTGTTCACAGTGAGTAGAAAGCTGTGAGAGGGTGTAGAATACATCTATTTCCTCTTCTAAAATGAAGGCAAATGGCCTGAAGGGAATGAATTACGGAGCAACACACAATATCTTTCTTGCTATTTGTGTTGTTTCAGAGAGGGGTTTGTTTAGTGCTTATTCCTTTGCTTTGTGGTTTTAAAACAACAAATTAAAAAACAAAACAAGAACAAATACTGGGCAAGGAGCAGCTGAATGGATAACCCACACATCAACCAGATCATCATCGGTTTATCCTGAGACGTAGCTGGGATCTGGATGACTTCACCCACCACAAATTGCTCCCAGCAGAGAGCACCAGACATGGCCAACAGCTGGGCCTCACTGACCAGATGTGTTTGCCATGGCGTTTGGTAACACCTATGAGGAGCGACACATTAAGAAACCCTCCACAGACCTCACACTGCCATAAGGACTGGTAACCCCACTCTGCAGGAGAGAAGGACTGCCATAGAGAGAGAAGGACAGCAGTGAGCAGTTTGTGCTGCCTCACTTTGCTGTCCCCTGGGCACCCAGCACCTGGTGGCACTGCCATCCCTGTGCCTTGCCTGGTCATGGGTGAAGACAGGAAAATAAGGTCTCCCTGTGCTGGAAGGGGTGACAGAGTGTCTACATTAGTTTGTAAAGATGAATACTGCAGGAAAAGCTCTTGCTTTCAAACTCCTTGACCTGGCCAGTTTAGCAGGATAAAAAAGCTGCAACAGAGTCATTGCACGGCTTCATTTTTGTTTCCTCACTTCTACAGTCTCACCAAGAGAAGGGAGGAGAACCAGGTACACCCATCTAGGCGCTAGTGAGGTGCTCTGCTCCTCTCCAAACTCTTACTCTCCAGACAGCAAAGTAAATAATCCAAGGGACAGCTTTAACTTTTCTGAACAACGCTTCCCCAGGAAGATCCAGGCACTGTTCATACATGTTTGGGCATGGGAAACCTGCAGGTTTCTTTTCCTGATTGAAGACAGCTGCTACGTGCTGTAGATACTTGGGTATCATAGTTCTTAAAAAGAAAGGACCTTGTAGCAAAGATTGCAGCAACAAAATTTGGCATTCCCGCTTTTATATTAAATTTTTTTTATTGAGATGATGTAATTACAGGCATTTTAAAAATTATTTGCAACTCACTGGCCCTGAGAATAGGCTTTTTTGTTTGTTTTTGTTTTGTTACATTCATTTGATTCAGTCCCTTAGCCCCACACCGTAAAAAAACAAAAAGCCATCATCAATAAAAACAGACTAGAATTTTATTTAAAAAAAAGACCTTGAACTGATGCATTCTGGATTTGCACATGGTTGCAATCTGACAAAAAGATCTGGAGAATGCATGCGTGGAGTTTGAAATCTGGGGAGGGTGGCAGCGACTTAGTGTTCACAGAATGGGCCCCAGTAGTGTTCTTTGGATGGAGAGACAGTCAAAAGGTTTCAAACTTAAGTCAAGAAAATGTTCTGCTGTGGAACTACAGCGTGTCCTACCTGACTGGCTTGTGGCTTGTTCAGACTTGTAGCAAACTGATGGCAATGAAGGTCCCAGTTAACTGCACAATGTGAAGTTCCTTTGTTAGGTGTTGAGGTTGGAAGGGACTCCTAGGGGCAGCTGCACAGGACCATGTCCAGATGGCTTTTGCGTTTCTCCAAGGATGAATCTCTTTCTCCCTTTTCCCACCTGCTTTGGTGGCAAAGGCAGAAAGTTTGGCTGCTTTGCTGCTAGCAAATTCTACACTGGGAAATCAGAAACTGGGGAGGGGAGGTGGGTGTCAGGGTTGGTGGGAAGACAGTGTTACCTTTGCTAGCCCAGACGGACAGCCAAGTGCTCCTGTAGATCAGTACATTAAATGCTCTGTTTGCACTCTGCCATTCGGATGTGAGGTACAAGGGAACCTGTCTACTGCAGTTGCTCTGTCCTGGTTTTATTTTATTTTATTTAGGCACAGCTGGTAAACTTGCTTCCAAGACCCCAAGAGCAGATCAAATCCTGCAGCTCCCACAACACGTCCCAACCCCTGCAGCTGCAGTGTCACCGGACCCACTCACTGCAGCACCACGCAGACTGGCCAGAAGGCAGCTGGGAAGCTAAAGGTGAACATTTCCTCTACAAAATTTCCTACAGGACAACATGTGTGATTTCAGGATTCCTTGCTTTCTCTTGTTTTACCCAGTGCTGAGGACAAACATTGTTTGCTAGCATACACAGTGAGCATATGGGCTTATACTGGTGGATTGTCTCTTGTTCTCTGTATTTTGCAGTGTGCACCTTGACCATGACAAAAACCTGTGGCTCATCAGAGCACTTTATATAGAAGGTCCTTACTGTCTTTTTTTTTTTTTCTTCACCATCTTGTAACAGGAGCTGCAGCAGGCAAAAGAAAATAATGCAGTTATGCAGTTGTCACAGCCAGATCAATAAAAGATACGAATCGTTCTCTGCACAAACTTGGTTTCTTTCTACCACTGAACACCCTAAGAAACACAAGAAACCAGCAAGAGCTTCTTTACATTGATACTTCTGATCAAACTTCATCTGTCATTTGTATTCCTCTTCACCACACCCTGTTCACCCCACCTTCTGAAACATGGCCACAGCTTGGGTGTCCTTGAGCAGGGTGACAGAGCAGAGTAACTCCTTGGCCCCTTGGTTTCAGATCTGCGACCACTGAGGTCCCCTCAGTGTCACCTAATCTCACACCTCCTGAGCTCCAAGGACTTCAGAGTCATGGCAGAGACAAGCGACAGGTTGTCTGCTCATCTTTCTGATATGCACTCCTGTGTCTTTTCTTTTGAGGCAGAAAAAGTCAAGTACATGGTGTGCTGGGACTTGTAACATATTGACTATGACTTAATAAAAAAATGTGGCTTAGGGAGAGATGTACGCCCTGTCATTCCTCATCGGATACTGGCTCTGAAAAATCTCTCCTCTTTGTACGATGCCTATTTACATCCTTAGCAAAGCTTTTCCTTCTATGACCTGTGACTAAATATTAAGTCTTTCATGAGATTGGACTATCTCTGTTTAAACACAAGGGACACTATTAATTGCCGAGTGCCATTTTTTCCAGGATAGATTAACCCTCTTGTTAAATATGTGGCAAGATCAAATGTTGTGTTGGTTTAACAGCTGATAAAAGCTCTATCATGGGAATGTACCTTGTTTTTTGGCTGAAATGCGTTAGATTAGCCCACTGATTTTTTCCATTCCTAATATGCATGTTCCCATAAAAGAGGCTTTCTGTTTTTAATGAACTGGTGCGGACGTACTTTCTTCCAGACACCATGTGATTCCTGCACAGTTTCTCTGTACATCTTCTCCCTTTGCAAGCCTCGTTTCTGCTGCTAGATTCTCCTTCCATTGAAAGGACCACTGATGATGGATTGCTGGACACCCGGACACCACAGACTTTCCCGTCACGGTGGTCCAAGCAATGTGAAATGAAAAAGGCCAGTAGCTTTTCTTGTATGGGGCATCAAGGACTGCTGAGCTGCCTGCGACCAACTAGGCATAGTTCGTCTCATGCAAAGCACCCTCAGTGCAGCAAACCAAATCGGGGGTGTAAAAAATGGGGCACCTTGCAGCCAGAACAAAACCAAAACCCAAGAAAACAAGACAGCTGTAGAGTTTCTTTTTTTCTTGTCTTTTAAGTCATGTTAAAAATGGGCAAGCTGAGACAAGCTCCCTTGTGGCAGAGGTCTGGGGTGGGGGAGGGCAGTGGGAGGCATAAAAAAAACAAATTCCAAAACAAAGCCAAAATCAATTACAAGATATAAGTATAGCTATTTGGTCTCTAGTTCTCTACCACTTTTCAGATTGGTGAATCATCTACCTCTCCAGCAGCACAAAATGATCCTGGAGAGGTTTCTGAGTAATACAAACCATGCAACGGGTCCCCTTGCTTTCTCCCTGCGATGCAAAAAACAGTCCTTCACCTTTCACCCCAAAATTGCTAGCAGGTATAAGAAATACCCCTCCCTTTTGTAATTACAGATGCTTCAGCCTTTGCTTTTTTACAGAAGGCTTTGAGCTGAAATTCTGCATTGTGGATATATTGTGTGGGTTACATATATATATGTGAAACATTTCTATATACACACATATATATATGTATTTGTCCCTGCCCTCCCTCCCTCCCGCTCCATTCTATCACTTCTTTGCTAGAGGGAGGGAAAACGTCAACATCAGTCTATTGCAGAGGTTTGTCACATTTATTTTTCTCCTCCCTGGAGCACTTAGGTGATTGGTTTTGGTCCATATTCCAGCAGTTAATAGCCACTCACAGGACTCGTTGTGAGCCCAAGCTATGCTGGGATGATATCCCACCCCACACGTGAAGGGTGACTCCTCTTCATTTGACAAGTATGTGTGGTGAATTCTTTTGGTAGCTTCAACACATTTCCCAGTGGCAGCACATGTAAATTGATCCGAGCAAACTGGAACCCTTGAGCAAATCCCTTCTGTGTTGCTATTGTTTTATGCGGTGTTATGTCATGAGACTTGCACAGAAAATAAAAGCACTCTATTTCCATAGGAAAGCCTTCAAAAAAAAAAAAAGCATAATCTGATGTCTTGTCCTATGTGAGATAAGGAAAGTCAAACTGCATGTTTATTAGGGAAAAAACAACAAAAAAACCCCAAAACTGAAACAAACCGAAAAGAAAGAAAGAACTCATGGGAGACTTTGTAGGAACAGTGAAGTAGTGCATAAGTCCAGGCTTTCTCCCCTTTACTTTTCTGCCAGCACCACTTCTGCCTGTTAGTTTGTTTTGTTAAGGTGCTTCAGGTCCTGCGTGGTTTTCAAGCTAAGCGGCAATCCCAAGTACTGCTTCTGTGTTGCTGCTTCCCCTCCCAAACTGTGCCAGCCATCCGGGCAGATGTTTCTTCCATAGGCCCACAGAGGCGGTGCACCAGTTCCCTTCAGCACTCATCTTCTTGGTATATTTGTTCATCCAGTTCCTGGGATTCAAGGTGCTCAAGGCGGTCTGTTCGGCCACTCATAATCTCATCTGGGGTCTTCATGAACCTGCAAAACAGAGAAACAAGCGGATTTCCCAGTGGTCTCAGTTTTTACGTTCATCAAGAAATTGAGGCCCCTGAGCTCTACAGCTCCCGAAATCATCTTTGCTGTATCCTCCCAATGCCTTAGTATTTCCCAGCTTCTCCCCAGCCTACTTGTGTCTTCCCTCCTCCATACCTTGAAAGGAAACAAAAAAAAAATCACAGGCATTTAACCCCTGCTCTTTTAATGTCCAAATTTGAACTAAACCCCATAGTCTTTTCCGTGATGATATTTACTTCTTCTCCCTCATATTGTTTGCTGTTGTCATGTAAGATGCCACAGGTACACTTGTTTATGGTGTCTGGTGACAGAAACATTAAAGACCTTTATGGCCAGCACATTTCAAAGCAAAAGCACTTGCAAGGCATGGAGACGCAGAGGCTACTAGTTTGTGCAGGCTCATGTGTAGGTGAATGAAGAGCAATATGAAACACCAAAGGAACAGTGGTGGAAAAAGCCAAGGACCAAGTCAGAACAAGTTCTGGGAAATGGAAAAAACCCTGAAAGAAAAAGCTCTTGGGCTAGGGAACCATGAGCAAAGACAGTCTCTTCCCGTGTGATTGCAGCAAGTACAATCGTAATGAAGCACATCCTCTGTAAATGAATGTCATGGCTCCCAGCACTAATGTCTTGATGCAGTAAGTCTGCAGGGGGCTAGAAACAGAAACTGCCTCTGGGGAGGCATGGCAGCAGTAGGAAATGGGAAGGGACATCCACCAGCCTGCAGATCAAGTCTGCAGTCTTGATCTTTGCCAGGATGCTTTTGTGTCCTACCGCACGCAGATAATATGGAAAAGCTCTGCTTTTTCTTTCTGGATTTAATGGCGTAGGAAGAGAGAGTGGCACAGGAAGGATGAAATCGTAGTTCAAACACAAATCACTTTCCTACCCCATAAGTACTTCTGGAGAAACTAGGATGAAAGATGTTTATGCTGGAAGTGTTACAAAATTTCAGTCTTTCATTAACGATGTACTGGCTAACATTCAGCAATACAAAATGTGTTAATCAGAGGAGCTGATTTTATTTCAGGTTGATGATATGCTCAGTATCTTTGCCCCAGTGAAAACAAAACCAACTGACAGGAGCCTTGTTACTATCACTGACCCAGAAAAATCACTGCTGAAGCTAATGGGCAAGACTTGCCTCCTCTTCTGCCTCTGAGGTTATAAAGCTGAGAGTTTTCCATCTGAAAAATCTGAAGTCTCTCAGCAAACGCACAGCACAGCCTGGAACTAACCTTTTGCCACCTCTTCTAATTTTGGAAATCATGTGCACATATGCATTTAGGAAAAAAATAAAAGGGCTGTGACTCACTGCTGTGTCACTCCCATTTGTATGCTGGAAGAACGCTGCTGATCTAAATGGTGTTACGGTGGTGAAAAAATAGCATACAGAAGCAGTGAATCAGTCCCTGGTTACACAGTGAAAACGCACCAAAGCCTACTGGCCAGATTGTGCCCTGATTTAAACCCTTTGCTTGTCTTTTTGACCTTGCGTGAGGATGAAATCAAAACAGAGAGTGATCCCACTGCCCTCCCTACCTTCCGTCTGATCTGTTTCCTAAACGATATAGGAAATGGGCTGATGTGAACCGTACCACAGTACTTGGGGTATTCTTTCTGGTCTGTGTTCTAAGTCACGTCAAGGAACTAAAAGCATGGGTATTTGTAATAGCATTTGATTAAAATTAAAAAAAACCCAAGTGAACTACAAGTGAATGAAGAAACAGTAGCTGTGATCTCTTTTGTTGCAGAAGGCACTCAGGCAACCTATTAGAAATCCCTTCTCTGACTCCATTTTACTTAAAGCTCTGTACAGATATCTGCAGATGACAACTGCCTGCATGTTACTTATAAAATCTTATTTCCTATTATTTCTGTGCTTGTGAGAAATAGCCAAGAAAGGCACATTAATGGCTTGATTTTTTGCAGCTGTTCTTCTTTTTCTCTTCAGATATAAATAGGTCTAAGAAAACAACATCAATAAGTTTTTATTGGGAATTGTGCAAAAAATGCTTTGTTGTTTTATTTTCCAGTTTCCAAAGGAAATGAGGTTTATATGCTCATGTTTTATGCTCCCTGGTGACCTTTGAATCTGTTGGTCAATTTTGGGCAAGTCTGACAGAGGAACTGAGGTCTCCAAGGGTATAAAGCTTCTACAGTTTTGAGAAAATTGGCAGCCTGGTTGAGAAGAGATGGACTCCTGTTTTGTTTGTGCCCCCACCAAAGGAGAGGCTCCAAGATAAGCACATTCACTGTTCAGCATCACAGAATTCCCCCGGGACATCAGTTTTCACACAAGGCCATCGCGATCCAGGCTGCCTTCCTTGATACTGCTGCTAATGAAGCAACTTTGTTTTAACTTTCCACAAAAACCCCTAAAATCATGCAGTTGAATCTGCCTGTGAGTCCTTCTTCCCTTCACTCTCCTTCCCCCATCTAAGTCTCCTTCTAAGAGCTGACATAAACAAGACATTCCACAGAAACCTTTTCAGCCGTAGATAGTTTGAGTGCTAATGCAGTTCTGTTAGCTATTTAAGAAAACAAACTCCAAGACTGCCTTCCTATTGATATAATTTCCAAGCACATTACTAGATCCAGACCACTGACATCAAAGGAGTCTTTGGTCTGAGTTCAGTGCTCTGTGGGTAAGACGTACGCACTAGGATTTGCTGGTCTTGTCTGAAGAGAACCGGAGTGCTCGCGCACTCTTCCAGCTGCACTCAAGTTTTGACAAGTAACTCCCTGCTCTAACACTGTTTCAGGCACTATTTCCTAAATTCTTGGTTGTATCATCCAATCTGATGTGTTAGGTTTTATGTACAGCTCTTGGAGGTCCCTCTCTTCCTTGAAGGCAGCACTGCTGAAGACATGGTAATCAGCACTTCTTTTCTGTGGTGCTGATGCACTTGAGGAAATGCCTTATCCCTCCTTAGCTTTCAGCAGCAGCTGTTTCTGAGAAGTGAATTTGGAGTGGGTTTTCCAGCACTTTGGCTGAGATCATGAATCATTTAGCTAAAGTCTTAAACAAGGGCACAGCCTGCTTGAAGCAACTGAAAAGACTTCTGTTGAGTCCACTGATCATTGAAACAGGCCCATATTTTTGTAAATTGGTGCAGTTGCCTTGAAAGCTGGGAAGCACTGGTCTAGACAGCTTTTACAAATATATGCCCATTGTCACCTGTGTTATAGCTGTGGCAATGAAGTATCCCACACACAATTCCATCCTCCATCTTCAAAAACTAATTGTCTGCAGAAAGGAATGGCAAAGAAATGAAAAAATTACCTGAACAAAAGCCTTTGTCCTGGCTCCTTCCGGATAATATTTAGTTTGTAGTAGTGGCGTAGGGCTCTGGACATTTTCTCATAAGTCATATTTGTTCTGTTCTGTTTTTTTCAAAAGAAAAAGGAAAAAAAGTAGTGAGATGATTCATTAAAACCTTCCTAAGCCCCCAAAGGAGTTGCAGAACTATCACAGCTAGCTAAACTAACGAAGTCAGTTCAAGAAATTACATGTTCCACTCTTCTGATGTTTGCAGGCCCATCCTGCCCCTCCAGTCCTCATCACCGAATTTTTATGGGTCTATTTTCATTCAGGGCAATTTAAGCAAGGAAGTCCAACAAAAATGTGAAGTGAGGTTTTTCTACAGTTTCTTGGATCACAGATAACAAAAGGCTTCATCAACCACAAGAGGAGACATTAGATGGAGGGAGATGCTCATGCCAAGTGGGATGTGACAGACCTGTTCTTAATGAAACCACCTTTTGTAAAAATGTAAGAACAGTGGCTAATAACTGAATCTGTCAGCAATCCCTGTTAAAAGCACTGTTCCTCTGGGATTCCCCTCCATTAACTAGTTAATGCTTACAGAGCCCTGTGGAGACTGACAGCGTGTTTCTCCTCTTGTTATACAGATCCAAATCAAGAAGCCCATTAGGTGGTACATCTGTTTCTATGACAGAGCCTCCTCTTCATTTTGGGAGCTTCTGACCCCAAAGTCCATAGTCAGAGCACTGCATGTTGACTGAGGTATAGCCCTGCTGAAGCTCAATATCACAAGGCAGAAGTGATGGGCACTGGCAGAGCTGTTTGTGGGCAACCCCCATAGTACTGACTTGGGATAGCAGGATCAGTCCCTTAGGCTATGTCTACATGAAGAGCATCTTTCTGGTACAAGGAGCACTGGTTACTATGCTGGCAAAGAAACTCCCAGCAGAGACAACTATACTGGCAAAGCTGTATTTGCATGAGTATAAAGCAGCTGCCTTGCCATGGGCTAAACATGCCAAACTAGTAGAAGCACGCTTTTGCTCTGTGAGTCTCCATGTTAGAGGAGTTTGGCTTGGCACAGCTCTGGCAGTCCAAGATCAGGCAGGAGTCTGTAGTGTTGACCTGGCTTTATTAAATGAGACTGATCCACCTGTCTAAAATGCCCCCTGAGAACAGACCTCCTCTGCTTGCCCTGACCGCAACAGCTCTGCTAAGGGAGGCCACTTAAAGAGCTCCTGTGGCAGTTAAACACTAACAATGACAATTTTTTCCCTGCAAAATCTAGACTCCGCTCATTGGGAATCCCCCTGAAACAGCATGTCTGCTTTTTCCATTTCTCACATGCTAAAAGGCCACCGTGTCTCCCAAGTGGCTAGTGGTCTGAAATAGCTTCAGCGTGAGACATGATGGTAAGCCCTGATTATTAGCATGGAGATGCGGTAAGAGCAGAACTCTCCATTCTCAGTGTTGCAGCCCAAGACCTCTACGACAGATGTTCTTGTAAGCCATGAGTCACATGAGAAGATCTTGACCTTATCAAGATTATATGTTATGTATACTCATATACAGAATCACGGAATAGTTGAGGTTGGAAGGCACCTCTGGACATCACCTAGTCCAGTTCCTCTGCTCAAAGCAGGGTCAACCAAAGATGGTTGCTCAGGACTGTGTCCAGTTGGGTTTTGAACATCTCCAAGAATGGAGACTCCAGAGTCTCCTCTGGGCAACCTGCTCCAGGGTCTGACTACCTTCCTAGTCCCACACCTGGGGTCTCATGAAACCTAACAAGGGGAAATGTAAAATCCCACACCTTCTCAGGTCACTCCTCCCCAGGTGGGGTACTTTACATTGTGCCTTGTTAAGTTTAATGAAATTCCTGTTAGCCCATTTCTCCACCATGTCCAGGTCCATCTGGATGGCAGCACAACCCACTGGTCTATCAGCTACTCCTCCCAGTTTTGTATTGTCTGCAACTTTGCTGAGGGTGCGCTCTGTCCCATCATCCAGTTCATTAATGAATATGTTGAACAGTACTGGATCCAGAATCAATCCCCAGGGCAACATCACTGGTGACTGTATTTTGTGCCATTGATCACAACCTTTTCAGCCCAGCAGTTCAGCCAGTTTTCAGTCTACCTCACTGTATTCTTGCCTAGGTCATACTTCATTATTTTGTCTATGAGAATTTTATGGGAGACAGTCTCAAAAGCCTTTCTAAAGTCAAGATAAACTACATCTCCTGCTCTCCCTGCATCCACCGAGCTAATCATTTCATCGTAGATAGATATCAGGGTGGTCAAGCATGATTTCCCCTTTGTAAATCCATGCTGACTACTCATATGAATACACTCATATGCATGCACTCATATAGATATAGCTATACATATTTAGCCCCAAACTGCAAAAATCAGTAACTGCTTTCTAGAGAACAAAGCAGAATTACCCTCTTAAAAGGGTAATCTTGCAGCATCTGGTGTCTGTCACAGGACAGCATGTGAAATCTGAATGTTGGTGCAGACAGGAACACAGACAGAAAGCTCCTGCCGTGATGTAGTATACAGCTCCTTGTAGATCACATCTAACCAGAACATCCTTAGGATCAGGTTTCGGGAAGAAACGAGATGCCTTGAGAGAGAAGGACCGTTAATTGTTGCACTCCTGTAATTTTATAATTAAATGCATTTATAACTAAATGCCTTTTAACCAAACCAACAGGTTCTCCATATGAAGGATAGGTTTTAGTGCTTGAGGCTGGATGCTTTATATTTCTCATGTGCATAGAATGAAAGATTACAACTTTCCAGCAGTAGTTTATATGCACATGCTTTCTTCCTTCTTCCCCTGTTTGTAAGTGAATCTGTGTTGTTAGAAGAAGTGACGTGCCATAGGAAGAAAATTGCATTGCTTCCTTACCTTGTGGTTTCCCCACAGCCGGGCCAGCCCGTTGGGATCCACTATCCGAAATATTTTGGATTCCTTATCTTCCCATCGGATGAAATTTTCGTACCGGCTGTCAGAAAGCAGCTGATAAACATAATCCCAAAGCAACCTACAGTCTGTGAAGAGAAGAGCAAGAAAATATTGACTTTTTTACCTTGGGATAAATTCTGGAAACTTTTGGGTGGATATGTAGTGAAAGGACAGTTGGGATCAGGGCTGAAACAGCTGGTGCAATGTGAAATGCAAATGGCCTGGTTGGTACTGACCGATGTTTACAGAATGTACTGGAATATACAGCCTCTTCTCATGAGTCCTAGTCCCTCTGACATTGACTAAGCATCTTCATCACATTGAAAGCTGCATGAGATGACCTGCTGATCTTAGTTGTGTGTTTATTATTGTACTGATGCACATAAAACCACCACTGTTGGCCCTGATACTGTTGCTGGCTGTTTCAGTGGGGAAATCAAGAATCTTGCAACCTGCTCTCCCTGCTTGAGGCTGCCCATTTCTGTGCTAACATGAGGGGTCTAAAGCACGGGCAATGTTCCAGCTTTCCTTTATATGATCAATGTGATATAAAGTTGACACCTTCCACCATTTTTTAATTTACTTTTTGTTTTATTTTTTAAGGTCCCTGAAAAAAACCCCCAAGTATTATAATTACTTGAGTGCGACTGAGAGGTTAAATACTTTCTATTTGGATAATTGAATTCAAATTTCCTCTTGGCAAACACTCCTTAGGTCGCTAATTAAAGGTCTAACAGACACTTAGGTTTTAGTTTAGTGTTTTTCAGTTTCATAGCAGTCTCTTGAGACTGGGGAAGCCAAGAGCTGAGCTGCTCCTACTTCCTGCTTGCGATGTGCGTGTGCACGTAAGGGCAACTACAAAATACGGAAAGTGAATTGCACAGAGCTGGGGGTTCTGCTGCTGTCAGAAAAAACAGAGGTTTTATAGCTCAACTGTCCAGGTCCCTAAGATGGTCATATAGTTGCATTTTACTTTGAAAGCAAAACCAATTTCTGAGAGATGGCTTGTTAGAGTGGTCAAAGGGCATGCAACCAAAGACATCTAGCTTCTAGATGCTAAAATGGATTCTTGTCAGCCTGTCTTTCTATTCCTAGCTGTCTGGGTTTGGTATGTGTTACAATGGGGATGATGACATGTTCAGTGTAAGAATATAAAATGCTTTTTGAAATGGGATATGCATAACACATTTAATGAGCACTCCTGAAATGGTTAGAGAAATTAACATTATTGATGCATTTCCCACTTTTGAATTGTAAAGAGTATCTCTGAAACCTGTACTGTATCTAAATCCAGAGTTGAGTTTGCCAGTGCCCTTACTATAGACTATCCCTACCAGTCCTACAAAGAACAAAGCAGCCTGTTTTGAAGAGATGACATCTAGCAAAAATTGTAGGTTTCCGTTCTAGCTGAAACCTACCCTGATGGTCATCCGTGACAGCTACAAGAGGAGGAATGTGAAAGGAAAGCTGCAGTCAGATTTTTTGGTTGGAAAAACCATATTTTCATTAACATTTTTCACAGAAAAAATGTCCATTCCCATTTGAATTTTTTGGGGGTTTTAATTTAAAAAATGAAACCAATTTCCATTTTTTTCATTCATGGATGCAAATGTTCAGTGATAGCTTCCTCCCTCTCACCCAGAATAAGGTACCTGCAGTTGGGACCAGGACAGAAACTAATTTTCCTCTGCATGCATTTGCCAGCGACCAGCCTAGAGGGGTCCCTTCTTGGCAGACGGACGCGGAGAAGCCTTCCTTTCCCTGTCCCCCCACCCCAAGTCGCATATGTAGCCCAGCTGCCTAACCCACGGCTGTGGATACCAAGCAGGTCGCTGGCTGCAATTAAACGCCGCAATGCCAAACACAGCTGTGGCTAATCCCTCATGCAGCTCTGGGCACAACTGACTTCCCCTGGACTATGCAGGAGGTCTGTAGAAAAGCGTGAAGTTGAAAGTCTCAGACTAACACTACAATTTCGGTCATCTTTTCTCTCACAAATTCACAAACCCCAGTTCTTCCATCACCCTTCCATCAATAATTTTTCACACACACACACACACACACACACACTTACTTATGTCTCTTAGACACGCACATATTAGAAAAAACCTCCTTTTCTGGACTTCATTTATAAGGAACAAAGGAAGGAAGATTATATTGCTCTACTGGTTTGCGCCTTTTAATAATGTGGGAGATGGTCAGATAATAGGCTAGTAAGGGCCATGTGAGTGGTTCCTTGACACATTCCCAAAATCTTTCAAAGAAAGTTTGTACAGAAAATGATTTTTTAGTGCAAGCACCTTAATTTTAAAAAAGCCAACAAAAACTTTAACTGTTTTTTATTTTCCTTTTCCTTCTATTCATCTAGCTCTGACTCCCCAGGGCATATTTTACTAGTTGATCAGAGTTAGTAATACTGCTGCATTCCAGAAACTACCTTTTTTTCCCCATCATCCTGTGTAATCTGTGATAACTTTAACAACAAAACCTGCATAGTATATGTCAACAATTCATGCTGAATTCACTGTTTGAGATCAGCATTTCTCAAAGATCACCATGCTTTCTTTCTATCCAGTCCTTCATTAAAATCACTGTAAAGGGGACATGATTGTCTATGTCAGCGATAAATCCATTCACCACAACCATCAGTGGTTAGTACTGGGCTAAACACTTGTGGTGGGCTCAGGCTGGCCCTACCTCATCTATAGGAGAGGTCTGTCTTGGTGGGAGCAGTTTCAAATCAGAAAATATTGAGTTAGCTGATATTCATCACAGAAAAAAGAGTAACTTTTTGACCAAGGCAGGAATGGATTAGAAACCTAAGGGACAAGAGGAAGGATGTGGGGGTCTGTTGTTGAACCAGCGCTTTTGGACTGTGCTGGAAGTTTGCTGAGGTGGTTGGTTGGCATATGGCCCCATCAGGAGAGTGCTGCAGGAATCTGGCATCTCAATTTCAGTCGTTTGGTTTTGCTTGTGGACTGCTAGTCCTGGATGGAATCGCCCCCCTTGGGGTCAGCTGCAGGGATGACACTCCCACAGAGGCAAGTCAATGTCAGGCTCTGTCATATTCTTGAACGTGCAGCCCAGGGCAGACACCCTTTGACTATAGTAGCTTATAGCTAATATTTACAGTTCTGCAAAGATATGATTTACACTAAACTTTACTTTCACCTCATTATTTGCAATATGCAATGTTGTTTTTAATCAGCAGTATACTGCTGTTAACTATGCTCTAGAACATTTCCAAGTGTATAAATACAACTCTTACTGAGGTGGATGGCAGACCACTAATATCCTCTCTACAGTGGTCCCTGGAAGAGTTTCAAGGAGCTAATGGATCCTTGACAGCTGACTGGAATTGCACATGCAATGCGCATCACACTGTGCCAGGGCTGCACATTCACCTCAGTGTGGCTAGCAAGTAAATTCTAGTCGAACCTAACGGCTTTGGTTATTATTTTGGCTGTCATTACTTCCCCCCCACACATACACTGTGCCCCTCTCCTTCACAAAAACAAGAAAGCACAAAAAAAATCAGCCCAAGGTGTCTGGGGGGCAAATTATTGGACTAACAATAGACCTTCAGACTATAAGAAGAGGTAGGATTCAAGTGCACATTTATTTTTTGTTGTTGACTTAATTTTTAGAATGGGTTCAGGCTAAGCTTGAATATAAATATTCCTCAAATGAGAAAAACTCAATCTGCATCTTGAGATCTTCACAAGAAAAGTCGCAAGTGATCAAGGGTCCCATCCCATATTCTAAACTGACTGAGTTGCACAGACTTGCAGAGATATTTAGTAGACTGGTGGAATTTGCAAAAAAACCCAACCACCCAAGTATCTTAGACCTCTAAATCTGCTTCAACAGGAAAACTGAAAATCCTTGAAAATTCTGCTTGGCTTCTACAACCATTTAAAAACTTGTCTTCAAAAGCTACACTTGTCTATCAGCAAATTTAGATATATGACTGAGTTGCAATAATTTAATGAGCTGGCATGCATCAAGGCAACTGTGTCTCAAGTCACTGCAAATAGGAAATAAAAAGCATTAGCTTTAGACGCCAGGAGAAAAGATTTAGGCTCACTACATTTCCTCTCACCTCTGCTGAGAGCTATGAGCGTACACACTGTTATCATGGACCAGCTGATGCTTGACAGCACAATTTAGTTAAACGTATGCGCTCTGTTTGCACAATACCTAAATCGTTTGCCTTCTTTCAAATTTCTCATGGCAGACCTTTAGGAATATGAGCATAGGCATTCGGGGTTTTTTTGTTGTTGTTTTTAATCACAAATTATTTATGCCCTGGGTATCCTTCTACACAGATTGTACAGTAAAAAAATATGAGGTTCTGGAGGGGCCTCCCTGACTGACAGAGGAGCAGCCACTAAATAATCTACCACTATTAGGCCAGTAGAGACCATCTTTAATAGGACAATAGAGACTACAGGTCAAAGACTACCTGATAACTCTTAGAAAGTGTAATGAATTTGGAGTATAGTAGAGTCCATCTGGAGTAAACTGCATCCAATGAAACTGGTGAAAACCCAAGAAGAAGCAATGCTAGAAAATGCTATTAAAAGGAGCTTCTCCACGGGGAAAAGAGACACCTCCACAAAAAGCTGGTGAAAATACAGAAAGTTGCATCCTCCAGGAAGGCCAAAACTGTTACATGTATTTTCAGGAAGGACGGAGAAATTGAGAGAGGGACTTGTATGTGGATGGTTGTTTTGCATGTGTAAATCACTTGTTTGAGGGAAGTTTGGATGGTGTGAATGACTCCATGAAGACTAAATCATTTCCTTGGCTGTCAGAAGGCCTCCAACAGGAGCAGTCACATGGGGGGACTCTCCATGGGTGTGTGCTGGCTATTGAGCAATGGCAAGAGAGCACATGGATGTTGCTAAGGCCCAGCAAGTTTAAAAGTGTGGGAGATTCAATAAGGGAGTTGAGTCAGGGCTGGTACCTAAATTGTTTGGGCATGCTGCAATTTCCTGCCTTTTGGCTAAAATAAGCTTACTTAGAAAGTAACTATGTCTCTGTAGCACAAGGAAACATCATTTCCCCCTAACACACACATGTA